CTCCACCTCTTCTGATCCCAAGCCCCAGCTCAGGTGCAGAATTTGTTGTTGTTGAACACTGGTCTGAAATACATTTTTCCATTTCAGTTGGCTTGAAAACCTACCTGCCTCCCAGGGAAAGTGATTTGTCAGCACTGACTGGAGAGTGTGTGGCTGCTGTGCTCTGTGTAGCCACAGGTTACTATCCATCTTTACCCAGTAATTCTGCAAAGTGGCATTGCATTGGCAGAGCTGTGAGAGGCCATGTTGTGCACATCTATGGGCACAGCTGCATGAGTAATAGCTGCAAATGTGACTGACGGTCAGTATAATGCTGGAGGATGACTGCTCAGGGCAGTGAGACATCTGACGTCCAAAACGCTTCACAGTTTCAGCCTCGAGACATTTGTCTTCAAATTTAACATGGTACAGAATTTTGGATAATAATAATCCTTACCAGGTTCCTACTTACTGCTCGATAAACAGAGGCGTGTTGAGTAAGGAAACTTGCTTAAGGTTGCTCTTCCTTGCGAGGCGAGCACTCTAAGTGCTATGCTATGGGACTCCACTCCAGTAGAGAGTGCTAACTACTACACAGGGTTCTTTGCATATTGGTTCTATAATTATTACTCCACTGAACTTTCCTCTTGTTTCTCCCTCACATAAACCATCCTACAGGCTCTTCCTTCACCTCTCTGCATCCTCTCTGTGTTCAAAACTAAACTCATCACACCATCTTTTCTAACTCATCCTTTTCCAGGATATTAACCTTGCCTCTCTGTCTTGTGTCCTATAATCTGTAAGCTTCAAACCACAAGGTTGGTGACAGCTATCTACATTTTGAAATTCATCTTGCACTCCCTTGTGCTCTCATGGTCTCTCATGGGTTTCTCAAGGAGAAATGTATACTATGGGCCAGTAAAGGTGCAAATTAAGAAAACTGTGGGTTCAAGCCATACATTAGGTGTCATCCTCACAGTCTAGGCTAACACTCCAGTGCAGTACTGGAAGTGGGGGGAGCACGGCATTGTTGGAGTCTTTAGATGAGAGGTTAAACTGACGTCCCACCTGTCTATTCAGGTGGACGTTAAAGATCCCATGATATTGATGGAAACGAGAAGTAAGTTTCTCCAAGTGTACTGGCCAGCAATCCTCCAAATTAATTGGTCAATCACTGTTTGTGGGACTTTGCTGCGTGCAAAATACCTGCCATGTTTACCGACACACGCACAATCACTAAACTTGACAGCAATTTTCTGCGAAGCCCTTTGAGACATTTTGGCTTTATAGCAGCATCAGGTGAGAGAATTATTTTAGAGATTGTTAAAGTTAGCAGTTGCTGTGGGTTTTAGTACAGATCTAGTTTCTCTCAACGGTCTAACAGGAAGCAGTGCGCTCACAAAGCAGCTGTCTTGTTCCAAACTGCTATATCTCAGTCCGAGTGAGTTAGTGGAGGATGCCAGCTGCCACTGTGTGTAACAAGTTCCATTCCATCCCCTGCAGCATCTTAACCTGGCAGCAAGCTTGCAACCTCATTTACAAAAGTCTCTTCCCAGCTGTAGATTGTGCCTTCAGTGGATTGATCCGGCATCAACTGAGACAACATTGCTCAGCCTGGATATCACCAAAAACAGATTACATGAGTATAGCGCCTTTCAGATCAGGGGGACGCCCCAGGGGGCTGGACAGTCAGGGATTTGGACCTGAGCTGGGGGTTAGGAACAGGAGGGGTGGAGGGCAGGGAGGGTAGAGTTAGGAGGATGAACGAAGGCGCAGTCGAAGAGGAGGGACTTGAGACGGACCTTGAAGGAAGCAAGGGAGGGGGTGAGGCAAAGGGATTGTGGGATGGAGTACCAAAAGGTGGGGGGCAGAGAGGCTGAAGGCTCGACAGTTGATGTTGGGGTGGGCAGGTTGGGGACATGGAGCAGGCCAGAGTCCATTGAGCGGAGAGAGCGTACAGGTTGATTTGGGGTTAGCCGGTCACAGAGGTAGGATATTCCCAGATGGGTTCCCCCTGTAAGTGATGTGCTCTTCGCCCCAAATGTTGATACCCGAAAAGGGGGAAAATCAGGAAATCCAGTGGGGGCATCCCTGAGAAAGTGAGGAGCGACAGTGTAAAATAGGCCATCTTCTAAACGCTGAGCCCTTGTCACGCCACAGATGCAGTTCTGAGAATGATCCCTGACATTGTGTCAACACGTCTGTTATGAACTCGCCTTCACACCACGTTTGTATCTTTCCTTCTTAACCCCCCCTCCCCAACAACATCTGTTCATTCAGAAGCGGCATCTTGTCCCTGTGCTACAGGTCAAGAGTGGGTGTTGTGGGCCCAGTAATTCTTCTCCAAACACAAGACTTCTTTTGTTCTCTGATGTTTTGCACAAAACAGGTCAGGAACTGACTCAAAAGTGCTTGTTGCGGCTGCTTGCCCCATTTTCATGCTTTTCTTTATTTCGGCCTTTATTCTTGACTAACGTTGCCAACTTTGAATGGAAGTTGTGAGCTCAGAAAAACATGCCCAGAAGATACAAAGAGCCGATTGCCAGACTGGCTGTGCCTTCACTTTCCTTTTGTGCCCCTGTTACTGTGAACGTTTGTTGTGGGATGGAGCGAGGGAGGGAAGGAGGGCGGTGCCTTGGCAAAAGATCAGTTTGTCTTCAGGAGTGGTCTGACCCCGGCCGTGTGACATCATCCCTTTTCTGATCATGATGGAGTCCTGCAGTGTATTGGTTAGCAAGCTCGCCTCGGAAGCGAGAAGACCCGGGTTCAATTCCCGGGCAGGTTTCCTTACTCCACATGCCTCTGGTTACTTAGCAGTAAATAGGAACCCAATTGTTAGTCGATTGGCGGATCACTTTTCTGGGGGTAACAATCCCTCAAAAAATAAACAATAATAATAATTTGGTCACTCAATCCACGACACTGTTGTGCGCAATTGGACGCAATTGGACCACAACATATACAGAAATTCACTTTACAGTATATTCTGTGAAGTGCTTTGGGACATCTCAACGACGTGATAAGGCGCTATATCAAATGTAAGGATTATTATTGTTATTATCACAGTAGGTTTATTGGTGATTCAACAACATCCCACCTGCTGCTGCTTCACACTATTATGTCGCTTTGCACTAATGTTATCCCTGTTATCCTGGCTTGTAATACCTTATCCAAATTCACCCCCCAAAATATCCATTCATTGACACTGTCTTGTTGTTTGTAGGGAGTCACTGGTGCAGATCACCTGCTGCTTTTGGCTGCATAACATTCCCTTCATTATAAAGAACGTTTGACGATGAGATAAGGCGCTATATCAAATGCAAGGATTATTATTATAATATCCTATGAAGCTCTTTGAGACGTCTCGATGATGCGATAAGGTGCTATATCAAATGCAAGGATAATTATTATAAATTATAAATAATATGTTGCAACTCTAATTTTCTTTCCCTGGCACTGACCTGTATAATAATCCTTACATTTGGTACATTGTCTTTCATATTGGCGGATGTTTCAAAGCACTTCACAGGATTTCCTGTAATAACTGTCTATTTTGTGGGCAAAAATGGCAGCCAATTTGCGCCCAGCATTGTCCTACATCAGCCATATTCCTTGAAGGAGTAATCTCAGTCAGAGCTTCTCTTGCCCGTTTTAGCTTTATACCTGGTTTCAATCTGCTAGATGTAGATCTGCTGCGTAATGGAAATGCTCCATGACAATAATATGATCTGATATAAACAGTGCTAAACCACATTAATGCTTAGAAGATATTACAGACAGGGATGAGAGATCAATCGAGTGATTTAAGGAAGCTATATAAATGTACTCTCAGATTAGGGGATACACCACAGGCCTCAAATTCCTCATGGTCTCAGCCATTATCTTAAATTGTAAGTTTATGCAAATTTTGCAAGTTAGACTTCATATGGGTGCTTGTTTTGAATGGGTTCTTTAAGAATATGGATAAGCATCTTCCAAATTAGAACCGAATTTAAGGCTTTTTCAAAATCTGCGCAATCTTAAATTTCCAAAAAATGGGCTTTAGCATGTGACTGAAGAATTTTAAGTCACCAATATACAATATACAAACTGGGACACCCTCCTGGTTCTATTGGTTGAGTTTCTTGGAAGTACCAATTGGTTATCAGCCTTTCATTGGCATTTGCTAAATCAGTTGAGCTTATTCTCAGGCTGTACAGTACTCTGATCAGACCACACCTAGAGTACAAAATGCAGTTACTGTGGTCACTGTGACATAAAGGGGCTGCTCATGTCCCAGAGACAATGCAGAGTAGAGCAATGAGGATGATCCCCATTGTTGGAGGAATAAGCTATGAGCAACGATAAAGGCTCTTCAGTCTATTTCGCCCACAGTCAATTCACTTTACAGTATAATCTGTGAAGTGGGTTGAGATGTCTCTCTAACCCTAACCCTAAGTGATAAGGTGCTATATGATTATTATTATTATTATTAAGATGATTCCAAGGGGAACTCATAAAAGTGTATAAAATGTAACTGGAGCAGGTGGCCAGGAAGGGTGGTTGAGGCCAGGACACTGGATTCATTTAAAAAGCAGCTCGATGCTGTGAAAGGAAAAGAGAGGGTGGGTGTTCTGAAGGGATGAGATCGGATGGGCTGAAGGGCTTTCTCCATCTGATATGACCTTATGATCTTTCCTCTGCTCACTCCCTGCCTTCAGATAATTTGTGTCCCCTGCTACGGTTTGTGTACTTGTGCATAATGCACGCGAGTAGCACAGATTCACCCTGAAGAGCAAGTGAGCCTTCAGCTCTGCACCACAGCTTCTCCTCCAGTTCAACCTCAGTGTCCACCTGCAAAATTGGCACCTTGTGGGGGTGGGGGGATGGGAAGTGTTGAGAGGGTGGAGGGAATCGTATTGAAATTCGAGATCGACATAATAGGAACAGGTTGGCCCCGGTTTAACCTGCGTTTGAGCTTTTGGGAATGGGGAGCCTTGATTATTCCTTTCCGTTTTGTTCCAACTTTCCGTTTATCTTAGCAGTGACGCAGCACATTAAAGAGCTCCTGGAGAGAAAAGATAAGAAGAAAGTGAAATTGCGAAAGACACCAAAGCCCTATATTGAGGAACGTGATGGTAGGGTCGATGCTGACTGAGCACCAGTTGTCTCTCGGCTTCGTGTCCCGCTGCATGTGCTTGTGCTTACTCTTCTGTCAGCTTCCACGGTGTAGCGTAATGGCTGTATCACAAGGCACTGAAAAGCTCTACTCCAGTGAGACAGGACCAGGGGCAGGAAACAAACCCAGGCTTATTCGGCTGGTTTAAGGCTAAGGTCCATCAAGTCCACTCAAGGAACATAAGAACAGGAGGAGGCCATTCAGCCCCCTGAGCCTGTTTTGCCATTCTATCAGATCATGCCTGATCTGTACCTCAACTTCAATTACCCGCCCTTTCCCCATACCCCTTGATACCCTGACCTAACATATATCTATCAACCTCAGTCTTGAAAACTCCTCCTTTCTTCCTCCCTCCCAATATTCTCACTCCGCTTCTGTCCGTTTCCTCCAAAGGGAAATGCAAAAACAGAAACCCACTTTTTTAAAAAAAAATCAATCATTTTTCGTGGTAATAAATTTCAGCAGGGGTTGTCCAACTGGCTCCCCGTTCAGCTTCCAATAAGATTCCTTCCCTGTGTCCTTTAACTTTATCCCTTTAAATCTAATAACTTCAGATCCTTTAGTTTCTTGTTCCGCCACCTAGGCTGGTAGTTTGCTTGAGTTTCTGCCCCTGTTTATAGTTGTGGCCATGCTGCCCTCGTGCAGGCTGGTGGAAGTGAACCTGGCTGGCAGATTTTCAGCACAGCTCCCAGAACCTCCAGTACAGTGCAGTGCATGACTCTGTGCTGCCACCACCAGGAAAATGGGAAAAAGTTCCAAAGTCCCAGCCCACAGGAACATAGTGAGATGCTTGCTTATTAAACAAGGTTGTTCCTGGAACCTGCTCTCACACCGTCAGGGGCATTTCTAGCCTTTAACAACAACAACAAATTACGTTTGTATGGCGCCTTTCATATCGAGAGTGGCAAGGCGCTGGACAGTCAGGGAGCATGAGGTTGGGATCAGAAGGGGTGGAGGATAGGGATAGGAGGGTGCCAAAGGTGCGGCCGAAGAGGAGGGTCTTGAGACGTGCCTTGAGGGAGGGAGGGAGCGAGGCAAAGGGACTGTGGGATGAAGTTCAAAGTGTGGGGGCAGAGAGGCTTAAGGCAAGGTGGAGTGGGATGGGCAGAGGATGTGGAACAGGCTGGAGCCTGCTGAGCAGAGGGGTTGATATGGGGTTAGCCGCTCGCAGAGGTAGGAATGAGCAAGCCTGTGGAGGGCTTTGAAGACCAGGCTGAGGATTTTGAACTCCCCTCTGGGGGATGGAGAGCCAGTGGAGCTGGACGAGGGTGGAGTTGATAGGGTCACAGAGCCTGAACATAAAGTACAGAATTGGACAAGGCCACAGAAAGAGGCCGTTCACCCCAATTTGTTGGTGTTTTTTCTCAACGTGAGACACAGAATCTTTTCCAACTCTTCTGCTCACTCTGCCAACACCTAAAAATATTCCTCCTCTTTACTCTTCCCATAGACAATACAAACCATCCCCTCCTCCATTTCCTCCCTTGCCATACCTATACCTTGTCACCCTCCGCAATCTTCCCTCTCTCCTCCTCTGCCCTTCCCCTCATCCCCTCCCCCCTTTGCTGCCCCTCCCCTTTCTCTGACCAAAGCCCCCTCCTCCTTCACCATCCTTGCTGTCTTTGCCCTCCCCCCTTACTCTCTGACAAAACAAATTGCCCTTCAGTTATAAATCTTTCTTTGTCTTTATCTTTATATCATCCTCTAGTAACTGATTGGCCCAAGGTGGTAAAGAATGCTCACTGTGTTTATGAACCCCTTCATAATCCTGAGCATCTCAATCGACTCTGCTTCAGAAAATATATCCCAACCCCTGGTTTCTCCTTGAGAATCTACGCTGCATCCACAATGTTGCCTTGAATGAGAGGCCAGTGTATGTTTGTGATGTTTATGTAGCCACTGCTTGCAGTCTTGGCTATTCCTTCGGGTTTGCTGTAGATTTTTTGCTGCACAAGCTACCTTCTGTTTCCGCTAATGCAGTTTCTAACTTGATTAGAGTTGGAGTGTGTTGCAATAACCACAGGGCTGACACAGGGTAGCAGATATCAATACTGGTTGTCTATTGAGATCGACCGCTTGAAGGTTCTGAATTACCTTTACTTTGTCCACACGGAAGGAGAATAGGAGAGAAGACTGTGAAGGTGATGATCTCTGCTCTTTGATGTGGCCCACAACTTGTCTGATCCACTTACACAATAAACCATTCGTTACAGAGCAATGGAGAGCATTGATTTAACCTCCAAACAATCGAAAGTGTTGCAATAGGAGGAGGCCATTCAAATTCCCAAGCCTGCTCTGCCATTAGATCTTTTGATTCCATTTCCTTCCTTTTCTCTATCGTTAACCAAACCTCCCAAGTATTCATCTCCCTTTTAAACATCCGACTTGATTCTGCGCCCACAGCCTCCAGGCTGGTGTATTCTGTATTCTCACAGTCTTTTGTGTGAAGAAATGATCGTGAACCTAACTGTCCGAGCTCTCATTTTAAGTTGATCAGATAATTAAGAGGAATCTTGTTTTAATCCTTCTTAACTGCCTCAGATCTAGAGAATATAATCCATCAACTCAGTCACTCACCATAACTCCTTTATAGGTATTAATCTGATGAATATCTCTCTTGGATCAGTATACAATAATAATCCTTGGATTTGATAAAGCGCTTTATTACGTCTTTGAGACATCTCAAAGCGCTTCATAGAATATATTGTAAAATGAATCGACTGTGTATTTTGTGGATGAAACGCAGCAGAGAATTACACACAACAGTATCCCACAAACAGCCGTGGATTGTGTGACCAAATTATTATTATTTTTAAAACAAAATTTTTGAAGGGATTATTACCCCTGGAAAAGTGATCCCCAATTGACTAACAACCGGGTTCCTACTTACTACGAGGTAAACAGAGGCATGTGGAGTAAGGAAACTTGCCTAATCTTTTGCTCCGCCCAGCAATCAAACCCAGGTCCTCTCACTTGCAAAGCGAGTGTTCTAATCAATACAGGACTCTACAAATTATAATTTAAAAGGGATAACTATATGGTTGGGTGCAACACATTACTCCAGATGAGATCTGGCTGGTGCTCTATGGAACATATATATATATGTAGCCTTTTTTATTCCAATTACAACGACGACGTCTTGCAGTTATATAGCGTCTTGGAGCGCTTTGAAAATTACAAAATCAATTACAATTGGTTTTCTTTACATTAAAGTAAAAAAAAATCGATAATTCAAAAGTCTGATATTCCTAAAATTATTCCCCAGAATCCATTCCCATTTACCTGTGCTTTGAGTTCAGTCTCCCTCCTATTGCTGTGTTTGAACAAGTAAAATAAAATGTCCCTCTTTGTGTTTTGGGGATGAAGGAGGGAAGAAGATAACTGATGGTGAGATAGGTTAGCGCCCTCCTAAAGGGTGTCTCATAAATGCAAGTTGTTGCTGTTGTTGGTGGTTATTATGCAGTGCAGTCATTTGTAGCTGAATTGTAAACTGGTGTGACAGCTTGAAGCTGAACTGTACGTTAATGGAAACCATTTCTCATCCACACTACACAGAATTATTTTAGCATTGTGTTGCCAACTCATCTCTTGTAATTGTTAAAACCTGTTCTGAACACAGACTTCCTGCTTCTGAGAGTTAAAAGTGCTTTTCTTGGCTCCCTGTGGCCTCTTGGCTCAACAGGTGGCAGACTGCATTGATTCTGTGTTGAGTTAGCAGATTTCAAAGGGCATCGGGGTATGGCACTAAAGTAAGCCTTGGTGCGATCCAGATACAGAGAGAATTCAACCAGGACCTGATTCATTAGGCAAATTTATTATTATAACTGCAGGGATTATTATTATAACTAGTAGTCATCTTGGCATTTAATATCATGCCTGTAATTGCAAAAAGGTCTCAAGGTACTATCAAGTTAGTGACTATTTGTAGGCAAATACAGAAGCTATTTTATGCACAACAAGATGCATAGTCACCTCATGACATAAGTGACCCATTTAATTGAAAAATAAAGCAAAAAGCCCAGCAGCGTGAGGAGGGAACTGAGTGAGGTGGAACAGAGTGAGAATTCTGTTAAGTAATTTGGTGAGAGTTGGAATTCGGTGCAGAGGGGGACAAGGGTGCATAATTACAAAATATATAAGTTATATTAAAATATGTAAAACGTGTCTGGGAATATGGCAGGGCAGCTGAGACTGGTTGCATACACAATGTGTGCCATGTGGGAACTCCAGGCCGCTTTGTGTGCCCTGGACAGACACGTTTGTAGGAAGTGCCTCTGGCTGTTCGAGCTTGAGCTCAGGGTTTCTGAACTCGAGGAGAGACTGGAGTCACTACATAGCATATGGGAGGCTGAAGAGTTCATGGATTGAACGTTTCAGGAGGTGGTCACCCCACAGCCACAGAGGGTTCAGAAGGAGGATGAGTGGGTGCCCACCCAGCATGGTAGGAAGAGGGGACAGGCAGTGAAGAAATCCCCTGAGAGTGTGGCACTCACAAACTGGGTCTCTATGTTGAATACCAGTCAGGGTGATGACACCTCTGGGGAGGGGAGTCAAAAGCAAATGGATGCACAGGGGTGGGGACAGGGAAGAGTGTCAATGCAATTGTCATTGGGGACACAATGGTGAAAGGAGTAGACAGGCGTTTCTGCAACCAAAGATGTGACTCTCACATGATATGTTGCCTCCCTGGTGCTAGGGTTGAAGACATCACTGAACCGGTGCAAAATGTTCTACAGGGAACATCCAGAAGCATGGTGCATGTTGGGATCCATGACATAAGGAAAAAGGGAGTTGAGATCCTATAGGGAGAGTATCAGAAGCTAAGGAAAAAGCTAAAGAGTAGGACCTCAAAGGTAGTGATCTCTAGATTACTCCCAGTGCCTCGCACAAGTGAGTATCAAAACAGCATGAGGCACATGAATGCGTAGCTTGAGAAATGGTGCAGAATGGAGGGCTTCAGGTTCCTAAATCATTGGGACCAGTTCTGGGGCAGGTAGGACCTATACAAAAGTGGGTGGTTATACCTGAACAGGACTGGGACCAATGCCCTAGCAGGGAGGTTAAATAGTGCTGTGGGGAAGGGTTTAAACTAATTTCGAGGGGGGAAGGGAATCAGGATTAGAGAAGAGGGCTGGGAGAGACAAGTAGCAATGTAATAATGAGTAATCCAGAAAAAGGTGGGATTAGACAGGGGAGAAATGCAGAACAGACTAAGTCAGTTTTGGAGTGCATATGCGTAAATGCACAGAGTGACAAATAAGATTGGTGAGCTGCGGCTCAAGTTGCCACATGGGGTAATGATGTAGTGGCAATAATGGAGACCTGGCTTAAACAAGAGCAGGAATGGGAGCTAAATATTCTTGGCTACAGTGTATTCAGGAAGGATAGGGAAAGGAGTGGTGGGTGGCAATATTGATTAAAGAGCGGGTGAGTGGGATTGAATTGGATAGCTCTTTTCAAATAGCCGGCACAGACACGATGGGCCAAATGGCCTCCTGTGCTGTATAATTCTATGATTCTATGAATATTTTGGCCAGGGACATCAGGAAAAAATACCATTTTCTTTTTAATTGGTGTCATGGGATCTTTAGCATCCACCTGAAGAATACGCAGATGGGACCTCAGTTTAACGTCTCATTCGCTTCCCACTCAGCTCCTGTTAAGACAAAGCATAAACGGGTATGGTTAGGGAAACTAGCTGGACAAGTAGCTGGAAGCTTTCCAGGCAAGTGTTTTCAATAGCAAAGTATCCGGTTTTAGGTGGTTAAACTCCAGCAATTACCCCAACGCACACTCCTGGGTCCCCAAGCCTTGGCTCTCGCCAACTGCACCTAATACTTTCTGGAATTAGATAAGCAGGGTGCATCCCTCCAGGGAAAAAGTGAGTATTCCATTAAAGAAATGGGAATTTCCATGTATAGGTGGGATACACGGAACTTTCAGTTTGATCTGGTTTTAAGCATAGGTTCCACGTGTCAGACACCCGGCTGACCAAAAAAAAGAGCAAAACGAGGACAATCAGCCCGTCACCATCTCCTATTAGCTAGAGGCTCAACAACCTGCATTTTTATAGTGTCCTTCACATAAGGTAACATCCCAGAGCAATTCACAGGGATGGGGTGAGGGACATGACCATGGAGGTAGGATTTCAGAAAAGACTCACTTAAGGACAGAAAGAGAGGAATGGTAGAGAGAAGGAGGTGCAGAGATTAGGTACATTTATGAACTGAAGGCTCATTTGCAGTTACCTTCAACTCGTTAGACTAATTTGTACTTTGGATGAGATGTTAAACCGAGGTTCCATCTGTCTGTCCAGTTGGCCATTAAAGATCTGCATTGTTGAAGGTGCTGTCTTTCTGATGATGGAGAACCAGAGGTATTGTCTATGCCTATTCAGGTGGAAGTTAAAGGTCTCGTGGCACATCTCGAAAAGAGAAGGGAGTTTCTCCGGGTGTCCTGGCCAACAATCCCCCAGATTAAATTGATCATTGACATTGTGGCTGGCTGTGGGCATTGCTGGGGGCAATTGGGCTGCTGCGTTTGCCTACAAAGTACATAGTCACTCTACTTCACAGTAAATCCTGTCATACCAAATTTAAGGATTATTTATTATTATTATTAATTGGGGTCCTGTAGCATAGTGATTAATGTGCTCAGCTCACAAGTGAGAGGACCCTGGTTCGATTCCTGGGCAGGGCGAAACCTTAGACAAGTTTCCTTACTCCACACGCTTCTGTTTATCTAGCAGTAAGTAGGAACCTGGTTGTTAGTCGATTGGCAGATCGATTTCCGGGACAATAATCACTCTAAAAAAAAGGAAAAAAATTTGGTTCTCAATCCACGGCTGTTTGTCAGACACTACTGTTGGCTGCTGTGTTTTGCCCACAAAATACACTATACTCTGTGCAGCTCTTTGAGACGTCTCAACAACATGATAAGGCATTATATCAAATGCAAGAATTATGATTATTATTATTATTATTAAATAGTTAGAATGGAACAGCTTAGAGAAGCCAAGGTAGAAAAGACGCCTTGCGTCTGGCTGAGATTTCTGTATGTGTTTGCTGGAGCATTTAATCACGGTTTCTGAAAGGTGCTGCCCTTTTGTCCGGAGGACACTAATGGGATATCATAAAACATCATGTCACTCTTACAGCACTCAGCTAAGCAGTCTGATGTGATGAATCTTTTCCTGTGTAGAAGTAATGAAGAATGCAATGCCCTATTGTTTTAAATCGTAACACTGGTGCATTAAATGTTAGTTGTGCCAAGTGACTTTGCCGTGACAGGGAATGTTAATAATCTTCTTTGAAGACGATGAAGCTGGTTACACTGAGCATGGCTTGAATTTCAATTGCTGGAAGATGTGACACTGCTATCAGTAACTGTGTATTTGTCCTCGTCGTCACTTTCAAAGCCCTCCACAGCCTGCTCCATGTTCCTGCCTACCCCACCAAACCAACAGTGGTCGGGTCTTCAGCCTCTTTTGCCCCCACCTTTGGAACTCCATCCATCAATCCCTTCGCCTCGCCCCCTTCCTTGACTCCTTCAAGGCTGTCTCAAGACCCTCCCTTCGATCACACCTTCTGTCACCCTCCTAAACCTACCCTCCCTGCCCTCTACCCCTCATAATCCTAACTCCCAGCTCGGGTGCAAATCCTAGGCTGTTCAGTGCTTTGGGGATGTAATCCCGACATGAAAGGTGCTGTACAAATGTAATTTGTTGTTGTTCTCTCCGTCCTTGCCTCTCCTTTCTCTCTCTCTCTCCCCCTTCCACCCACAGTTCCCAGCCTAACTCCCAGTTGATCTATGCCAAAGTTTAACCACAGTGGGATGAGGTGTTTCAAGAAGATGGAGAGAAAATATCCTCTTTCCCGTACCCCCTGCACATATTTCTCCTTTCTTCAGAGTCTATAACTAATCCTGAGGTACAGGTTCCTAAGAGCGACTTCCAGTAACTCAGCAGTTGCCTATATTCATGTTTGGCTCAGATGGTGATAGCAGTGTATTGAAGAGACACCCGTCCACACTTTCCAATGGAGAGTGAGGCTCCCTGGATCATGAGGTTTGGTTGATTACATCCTCCTTTTACCTCCATATCTCAGGAAACTGTTCTAACTGAAATCAGTCAACTGGGCCATGGATAAAGAAAGAACTTGCATTTTTATAGCACTTTACCAGTCCAAACATCTCAAAGTACTTTATAGTAATTGCTGTGTAGTTCACATTAGACGTTAAACTGAGGTCCCATCTACCTGTTCAGGTGGATGTTAAAGATCCTACTTTTTTTTGTTGTCGTGGCCATCAAATCTCCCAAATAAAACACAGTCTATTCATCTCCTGGCTGTTTATGAAATATTGCTGTGTGCAAATTGGCTGCAGTGTTTGCCTGGATATATACAGAAAAGACTTTGAAGCACTATTTCAAATGCAAGGATGAGAGAGAAAGATTTGACCTTGGCTTGAAGGTGAGCAGAGATTTATCTCATCGAAGGCACTGCTAAGCTCTGAAAGGAAAGGGATTCACTTTGAAGGTTCTTTCATATTAAGTTATTAGGGTACTGCAGGAACATTGAATTGGAAGAAAGAAAAAGCATTTGTAAAATGTGTTTCAATTGTTTGGCTCATAACAATTTCACCTCAGTCAGAAGTTTGTGGCTTCAAATCTCACCTCAGGACGTGGAACTCATATAGTCTTTAGGTGACATTCCAGGGCAATGCTGGGGAGGCAGCTCTGTTTTGTTGGAGGTGCCGTTCTTCTGGTGATACGTGAACCTGAGATTTTGTGCGCGCCTGTTCTGGTGGATGTTATCTCATTGCACTACTCAAAGAGAAGGGAGTTTCTCCCGATGTCCTCATCAACAATCGATTGATCATTGACTTTGTGGCTGATTGTAGGACATTGCTGTGTACAAATTGGTAAGGGAGGGTAATTGGAATTGAGGTACAGATCAGCCATGATCCTATAGAATGGCGGAACAGGCTCGAGGGGCTGAATGACCTATGCTTCTAAGTAGAGTGCCTACGTCCATGTGAAGTTCGCCCGCAAAATCACCTGCCACTCCGCTTTACAGTGCATACTCTGAAGCACTTTGAGGTGTCCCACCGACGTGAAAGGTGTTGTATCAAATGCAAGGTTTATCGTCCACCATTATTGTAGTGGAGCTCATGGAAAGTCACAGTTCTGTTTACTGTTGTACATAGGTAACTTATTCAGGAATATCTCTGGTAGGATGGTGCAGTGCATTGGGTTCTCTGATATGTTGTGACTTGGCCTGGCAGGTGGTGGATTTCTCACTCACAATGAGTGAGAATACTCTTATCTCAGGCACAAGGTTGTTAGAGGAAGGCCATGTATTTGGGTTGTATTTTATTGAGCCTTGGAATGGGAGGAAAGGTTCAATTCACAAACTTGTATCATGTTGACAGGTTGTTCAACACTAGTTGAACTAGCATTGTATGCCATACACCGTGTGGCGTGCTTAATCCATGGAGCACAGGCACTCAATATTTATAGTGGGGGGTTTCAGCAGTCTGGTAGCACCAACTTTTCCCTCCCCCCACCTCAAACATAAACACACTGACATCCCTCTCTTACCACACAGACATATACAGCATGCTAGATGCTTTTCTTTGTTGAGTTTTGATTCCTGTGCTGTGCTTAATGCCTCTCTCTTCCTCTTTCTAGGTGTTGCTATCAGCACATATGCCAAGTACTGCTACCGTAAACTGCAGAAGGCAGCTGTAACAGGAGCAAAGAAGGTACTGTGCTCTCTCATTATACAGCTCAGTGTGTGGGTTGTAATCTGGTGAAGCGGGTTGGATTTTATTGTAATTGCCCTCACAATTTAAGAGGGAAGGGTGAAGCTCCCTCCTGTTAAAGATTATCAGTGTTCCTGTGGGGGCAACATCAACACCAAATTAAGTTTGTATAGCATGTTCACATTGGGAAGATGTCCCAAGACAGGGGCTCGGTTTCTGTTGCACTGACTGTCGTGCTGAGTTTCTTCAGAACAACAACTTACGTTTACGTAGCGCCTATCGTGTCAGGAAGACATCTCAAAGCGTTGCAATTTATCCCCTGTTCCACTCACTATGTTTGACAGCAGCTGCCTGGAGAGGGTTACAGCCATTACTAAGCCTACCCATGGAAGGAGCTTGATCTGCATTAGGGAGAACAGGATGCTGTGGAGTATAATCACCAGCATGGACGAGTTGGGCTGAATGGCCTGTTTCCATGCTGCATCATTCTTTGTAATCCTGCACAATACATTAGTAAAGATAGTCAGTAAAGCAGAGTGCTGGCAGGGGAAGTCTTGTAAGGGAGCTGCATTAACGAGAGTAGAGTTCGAATCATTAACACAGGGAAACGATTGGGAGCAGTTCCTGATCACGTCATTGTGAGGGAGCAATAGATTATTGGATATGTTTCTACAGAGAGAAGCGGGCTTGAAAAACAAGCAGGCAGGTTAAGAGGACTAAAGTTACCAAAAAGGCGAAGGCATGATACTGCTAACCCTTTGCTGTTTCTAAATGTTCTTATAACTCAGTATGAGGTTGGTGTGATGAGATGAAGCCATGCTGTGGTATTTAGTGGGTAAGTGTTAACACCCCAGCTCACTCCAGTGGCTTCGTTGTAAATCCCTCCTGCAGTCAGATCCCAGAGTGTTCTATTGCAATATCATTCTGAATTGAGCGCAGACGTAAAGCTACAACAACAACAATTTGTATTTATATATCACCATTCAAACTTGCAGGGCTATGGGATAAGAGACGGGTAGTGGGACTAGTTTCACAGCTTTTCCAAAGAGATGGCACAGGCACAATGAACCGAATGGCCTCCTGTGCTGGTTGATTCTATGATTCATGTGGGGTAGTGTCTCGGAGCGTTTAACATTGACAGAGCTTGATGCCGAGACAGAGAGAGGGGGTAAGGTGACTGTACACATGGTCAAAGAAGAAGATGTGATCTGTTTAGTGATGGAAAAAGAAAAAGAGGGGTAAGGTAAATAATAATAATCCTTGAATTTGATATAACGCCGTATCAGGGTTTTGAGACGTCTCAAAGCGCTTCACAGGATATATTGTAAAGTGTAGTGACTGTATATGTGCAAAAATGTTTTTGCCCCCACAAAATATCCAAAAAAAATTTGAACTGATTGAGGCGGAGAGTTTGAGGGGGTAGTGGCTGCCGATGGTGGAGAGGACAGGATGAGGGATGTCTAGGAAGGTTGGAGCCAGCTGAGCACGGGCGGCAGACAGAGGAGTCGGGTGTAAGCAGGTTGGACAGGTAGGGAGGTGCCAGGGTATGAAGGGATTTGCACAACTAAGGAATCACTCAGCCTCCAGTTAATTCAATACGAGGCCAACTTCTCCACCAAAAGACACTGATCTGATGATCCTCCCTTCATCTTCCAGACCCTAATTATCTACGAAACGCAGAAAGTGATGTACGGCCTTTCTTCACTCCGGGACTGTTTCCTTTTATCTGTGTTCATTAATGAATGTCATTACCACACAACGAGCAAATAGCTCTTTTAAAAGAGAGTTTATTGAACATTGGGCTGACTTCAGTACTCCATGGTGTAATGGAACTGTCGATCCAAACACAGAGATTGAATTAGACACAGCTTTCAGAATCTGTCTTGCCTAGTTTTGGGAGTGAGCAGACGGGCATCTGGACTAGAGGCTTTTTCCACACTTTGGATCTGTGTGGCTTTTAAAACCTGTCCACTTTTCCTTGCTCTCCTATCCGTCACTTTTACATTACGATTCTGTTGCCAGAGGCAATAATAATCCTTGCATTTGATATAGTGCTTTATCACATTGTTGAGAGGTCTCAAAGCACTACACAGAATATATATTGTAAAGTGGATTGACTATATATTTTGTGGGCGAAACGTAGCAACCAATTGCACATGGCTTTGTCTCACAAAGAGTCGTGGATTGAGTGACCAAATGTAAAAACAAATTTGGGTGATTTTTAACATTGGAAAGCAATCTCACCATTTGATTAACAACTGGGTTCTTACTTACTGCTAGATAAATAGAGGCGTGTGGAGTAAGAAAACTCGACTAAGGTTTTGCCCTGCCCAGGAATTGAAGCCGGGTCCTCTCACTAGCGAAGCAAGTGCACTAACCACTCCTCTACATGACTCCCAGCAAGCAGTAATGGAACCATTAGTTTTGCTGGCTCTGGATCCATGAGATCCCATTCACTTACCGGAGATCTGACCTGGTATTAAGTTGAATATCTGGAGTGAGTAGAACTGGTGACATTCTGCTCCAGCGCCCAGGTGTTTGTGGACAAGTGAACCAAAGGTCAAGGTTTCCCTATAATGTTCCCTTTTTAAATAATAATAGCAAAATCGCAAAAAGGAGCAAAAGGCTTGTGGGAACATATCCTGGAGAAGATTACAGAGGAAGGGTGGGGTGAGACCGTGAAGGGATTTGTGGACCCTCATTAATTAACACTAGACTCAGAACCAAAAGGTTCTGAGTCCATAGCCCTTTAAGGCCACTCACCCTTTCAAGAACTCCCCTCCTTGGTTAAGTGAGTCTCTTATCCATCTCTAGTTTAAAGGAACCTTATACCTTGGAACTGCTAATGTAACATGAAATGGTGTATGGGGAGCGAGCAGGAGAGTCGGGTTAGAGCGTGTGGCTCCACGTGGAGAAAAACACCAACGCACACTTAATTATTCTTGTGAAGCAACCTGGTTAATAATAATATACTAATCCTTGCATTTGATATAGCGCCTTATCATATCATCAAGATGTCTCAACGTGCTTCAGAGCATATACTGTAAAGTGTAGCGACTATTTTATTTATTTAGGTCAACTCCAAAATAGTCACAGGAATTTCTCTAAATTCAGACAGTTGCTTGGAAAATTAGGATGATAATGGGTATAGTGAATAGGGATTAAAATAACTTAATAGTAATGAGCTAATATATTGGTAAACAGGGTTGGGAATAACAAGTACATTTGATATAGTGCCTTTCATGTCAGGAGTCTGACTCAAAGCGCTTCACTGGAATTTACTTGGACCCACAACTCTCTGACTCCGAGGTGAGAGTGCAGCCGACTGATGTTAAAACAAGCACTATCCACTGACCTTCCCCCACCCCCCTGTAATTCTACTCATTAATTCTGTACTCTACCAAAGATCAACCCACAGAAGGCACCGTTTTACATCCAATTCAATTTCCAGATTCGACGGTGAAATACACTGGATATCTATCTCATGATAGAGGCTAATCTCCTTTAGTATAACTTTGATATCAAACTAGCATTATTAGAGAGTGATCTCTGTGCCAGTGAGCGATATGTCAGCATGCTGAACCCCAACACAAGTGGGATTACTTATTGCTTAGATATGTTCCCAGCGGCACACTCACCCATCAGCCTGGAAACTAGTCACTCTAATTTTACTATGCTTTTTATTTTTACCCTGTAAATCTCACAGGGCAGCAGTTTCCTACCTTCAGGTTTTTACTTCCCACACTCGTATCTCTTTCCTTTGCTTTTTGCTCAGTGGACTCTGGCCTGTGTCATGTCCCCACCCTGTCCTTCCCAACATCAACAGTCAGGCCTTCGGCCTCTCTGCCCCCACCCTTTGGAACTCCATCCCACATTCCTGTAGGCAGTCCTGTAGCTCAGTGGTTAGAGCACTCGCCTCGCAAGCGAGAGACTTGGGTTCAATTCCTGGTAGCGCAAAACCTTGGGCAAGTTTCCTTACTTCACACTCCTGATAATAATCCCTGAAGAAACAAAAACAATAATAAAATTGGTCACTTCAATCCACGACTGTTTGTGGGACATTGCGGTGCGCAATTGGCTGCCGCGTTTCGCCCACAGATATACAGTCAATTCACTTTACAGTCTGTTCTGTGAAGTGCTTTGAGACGTCTCGAAGACATAAGTGCTATATGGCTTAGTTGCGAGCCAGTGAGCGACCGGGACTTGAGAAACTCGGATAAACCAAGCGGGAGTCGCGAGCAGCGAAGGCCGAAGATTTCGGTTGACAAAAGGCGGGCGAGGGAGGCTTTGGACGGGCGCCAGCGGGGTGAGAAATTTGTGCCAAGGCCCCTATCTGAATCACGGCCGAATCTCGCTGACGGACGTCACTTCCGGGCGGCATTTTGAAACACTTCCAGGCCGGGTAAGTGTAGTGTAACGTCACTTCCTGGCGCCAGTTTCAAATCCACCAGGATAGGATGAGTCCACTGAATTATCCTTCTGCTAACTTGTCCTCCCTTCCCTCCCGGTCTCTGGCACCAAGCCATGACCGACATCCCACCTCTACCCCTCCCCACCCTACGCTGTCTCCTGTAGCCCACGGGCTGATGCTGTCCCACTGATCGCTCGCTCCCGGTCTCTGCGTGCGCATTTTGTCTCATCCTGACCCAAAGTCCACCGCCCACGACCTCCTCCATGTTGCCCCCTCAAGCACCCTCAACCATCACTTCTAACGCCAAGTGTGAATAGGTCATGGACTCCCTTCTAAAATTGACAACATCCACCTGGCAGCTTCTTCCCCCGTGTCGCCTACCACCAGCCCCATTCCGTCTCCCTCACCCACCCCGCCCTCAGCTCCTACCACGGCCCCCATCCTACATTCATTTGCCTCCATCTCTCCTTCCTCCCTCTCATCCACCATCACCACAATGAAACCCACCACCTGCTGCCTCAACCCCCTCCCCACCCAACTGCTGATCACTCAGCTCCCCCTCCTCCTCCCACTGCTGGCAGACACTATT